TTTGTTAGTCTTGTGTATCCCTCTCAGTTCAGTTTTATCTTTATTTTATATATGTATTTGTGATATTTCATAAATTTTTTCACTTTATTTCAATTAGGCTGTTGAAATTTCCACTATACTTTTAGTGAGCGTTTAGCATAATTGCTTTCAAACATGTTCGAACCATTCTTAGTTATTGTGTGAGTCGGACGCTCAAACAGATGGTTGTTCTTTGCAAACTATAGACTTCTGTTGTTTGCTGCTTACTAAACGGAATTAATAAAATGGGGAAGTGTCTACCTTATAAAATTTTATAAACATTTTTGTTTACATGTAATAAATCAGTCAATTTCAAATTCAAATAAAAGCTTGAAACTCAGACTATGTTGCAGTTGTACATATTGCAAAGAAATTAAGGATACCATTTTGTTAAGAATCGTTTTGGTTTATGTATTTCATTCTGTGATTTGACACAATCTGCAAAATGAAAATTTCAATAATTAAAATAATTATAATGGAAGAAGTAACAAGAACAAACTGTTTGAGAACTACCATAAATTGAATGGTCTTTCTAAAATATGACTAAGTATGACTGCTTCACATTCGCTGTAATTCAAACGTCGAGCTTTTCGAGAATGGTAAAAGTTACTTTTAAAGCTACCATTATGACTTACGCAGTCTCTACTCTTTAAATAATATTTAAAGTTGTCTCCCATTTCATTCAACAAACGAAGAACCAGGGTTAAATTGGATCTGTATTGGAAATTTTTCATAATACCTTAGTCTCCAAAATTAAATTAGTAAGTCAATTTATTATAATTGGACATTAATTATTTCTGCTTAAGGGAAACGTGCGCTTCCTTAAAGTCTTTAACTTAATTATTTGGTTCGTTCTCATTTTGTTTTTAAATTTTTACAAGTTTTTCTTTGTTTTATCATTCTATTTTCCACTGCAACAAATTTTATATTGCATTGCACAGAATGCAATAAAATAAGTTTTGTTTTTCATTTTTCGTTTTGTTTTTATTTTTAATTAAATCGAGAAAGTTTTTCAATTAAAAAAATTGTAAAATTATAAAAACAGTAAATTAAAATAAAGGAGATTTTTTTTTGTTGTATTGTCAGAGGGAAAACAAATTGAAAAAAAAAAATACAATCAAATAAGCAAGAAAATTACTTTACACTGTTCTTTGTTTTTACATGCAAAGATGGCATAGAATTTATGAGGCGACGAATTGATGTCGCCTGTCATCAGTTTTTCGGTTGCTTTTTTTTTCATTTTCTCCAAAAATATATTATGGAACGATGAAATATAAGAAAACTGAAAAAAAAAAAATTGTTACAATATGGTAAAAAATAAAAATAATGAAAAGTTTTTCCGAGCTTTAGGGTGAAATGGCACTGTGTTTTCGCTGAAAAACTCAAATTAAAAGGAAAAAAATTAAACGATTGTTACAAAAAACAAGGATGAAAATTTGTAAAAAAAAAACTTGAAGAGAACTCCGTTTGTTAAAGAGCAAGAGTATGCCGCAATTTCTATTATTGTTGGAATGTAATGCTTATACTCGATCTTAATATTAAAATCGATTTAGCTTATCGATATTCCGAATATTTAAATCACACGATATTTAATATTAAAATCTGATTAAATTAAAAATAATTGAGCAAGTAATACAGAGGAGCTTTTTTCAAAATTTCCAAAATCGCGTTTAGTTGTTTTCTATTTTATTTCTGATTGAAATTTTCCATATTGTGGAATAATCTATAGTCGAACCTGTGTTACAAATACTATGTATGGCACCTGCTTTTGGAAATCAAAAAAGAATTTTAGAGAACAAAAATATCTCAAATTAGAAAGTTTACTTCGAAAAATCCACGTCACAGTATCTATTCAGAGAAAAATTAAACCCGTATCACGCTTATAAAATTTATCAGAAGAAAAGTGCTACAAATATTACAACTAATTCTATTTCCTTTAATTGACTCCTTCACCACCCTTAAAATAATTTATTCGCACAGAATGTTATTCGATATAAACTCTATTTGGACAAGTTGTTTGTACAAGTTGACAAGATAAACTCCAAAAAATCTTTTTGTTTTAGCATTAAATTTATAAACATTGGAATATTTGTGACATTTTTATGGTATTCTTGATTCGCCTGTAAGAATAATAATCTAGATTGTATTCTTTTATACTAGTTTTTCCTGCGAAAGGATATACTCGTAATATGACTAAATTTTTATTTAAGATAAAAATCTTTTTTTTTTTGTAGTGTATAATTTCCATTGTTCTTTTTAAAAAATATACAAGGCAACTGAGACTGGATGGTACACTATTCTTTTTTCGCACTCCCAATCAAGCCGTTAAGTATCAGTTATTTTATTTTTCTTCATACCTCAGGAAATATGACAATTAAGGACAATTTAATGAACTTGACGTCTTCAACTTCATTCATATTAATATACTAACTTTTTTCGCTTGAAAAGAGTTGTTTTGGCCCTTAATTTAATACATGTAAAAATATCAGAAATAAAATGTCAATAAAACGCTCATCTATTTTAACCAAGTAAGTTTACTCTTCCTTATAAATAAAATAACCTTACCTTACAATAAAATTTGTTTCAACTTGAGGACGTTATCCTACTTCGAAATTTTTGATACATTCTGATCTTGGATATCCTGTATACTTATTATTGTAAAAATTTGTTTTCATTTTATTTTCGTTATTCGTTTGGGGGCAAATATCAAATTATTGCTCTTACATAATAATTCTGAGTAAAAGTTAAACCGAAATTTTCCAAATGGCAATTTTTTTTTTAGACATTTTTTTTTAAGCAATGAAAGTTCTTGCAATGGAAGACATTTTATGCCGTTAATATTTAATATTTTTTATTCAAAGTGTAAGTGAATTTAATATAAATTTTAAAAATTATTACGGAATTTTTCGTAGCATTACAAAATGTACTGAAGATACTCGTAGTTAATTCACAAAAATTGACGGGATAGGTAGCTTGAGTGTTGCAGTTCTTATTAAAATTAAATTTGAATAAATCAGAACATAAATAGCATTCGATAGAAAAATATTTGTAAATTTTTCTATTGAATGCTATTTGCTGTATTATTTTTGAAATAATAAGTTTTGTGTGAATGTTTGTTGTAACTGTCTCAACTCAATCAATTTAACATAATGCGAAAATTCAATCTGTTATTTCGAAGAGGTTGAAAATGCAGTCGAACTTGCTTGCTGAGCGATAATAGTTGAACTAGCTTTAAATTTTTCATTTGTGTCTATTCATTGTAATTGACTGCTTTTCCAAATAAACTTTCCGATTACGGGTTAGTCCTCAATTCTAAGTAATTTTATTCATGATTTACGTTTTCATAATTTGATAATGTAAATAATGCAATGACTCTTTTAAATCCTTGAATCCAAGAAAATTACAAATTTACTTCTATTGTTTTTCCTTTAATATAAAATATTAAAATTTCAATATTATTAAATTTTCGTTTATTATTTTTAATATTTTAAATAAATAATTAAGAGCATATTATGGGATACAAAGATTTTCTTATAAATTAATTAACAAGTTTTACAAAATTTACAAAATTACAAAGCTTTTAACTCCACATACATACATACATATATTATGTTTATGTAAAAAAAAAATTATTTTTAAAAGAAAAATAATTAATTGCCTTTTAAGCTAATATTTTAATCTTAAATTCCATTTTCTTAAGAATTAAAATTTAGAATATTTTTAATTCTCATAATATTTACGTATACACTATGTATGTATGTATATCCATAGTTATAATATACATAAGGGAACATTACTCCAATATAATATTTTGTTTTAAAAGCAACGACCGTAATAATCCTTGTGGGATCCTTTAAATTGTTTATTTTCTCTCGTTAAAATATTATTATTGTATATTTATTGTATAACGTTCTCATTTAAAATACCAAAATAATAAATTCCAATTTTTAGATGCTTGCGCATACATACATACTCATATACATATGTACGTAAATATAAATCCATTTATTTTTAGAGAAAAGAAGCGATTCTCAAGAGAAGAAACAAAAAACAAAAACTCAGATGAAAAAATTGACAGAAAACAAAAAAAAGAGAAAATTTTACATAAAAGAAAATTTTCTTCATTTGTCAATGTCAAAGTATATATTTTGGTGGTCAACTTAAGGACGAATACAATGGACGACTGATGATGACATTGATGTAAACTGTAATAAAATATAAAAGAATTATGGTATATTAAAAAAGGTTTTTATCTATAAGTGTGTATGTGGGTATAAGAACGAGTATTTGTAGTAAATTTAAAAAGCTGAAAGTAAAACCGCATCCTAGAAACCACTAAAATATGGGATTTTAAGGAAAGCTAGAGAAGAGAAAAAATTCAAAAAGAAAAAGCGAAAGTGTTTTTTTTTTCATTCTGTCTTATAAAATAAAAGATGCTTTTAAACTAGGATTTATTCTTGTTCTTCTTATTTTTTGAATAACACAAAAGGGACTTTGGGCTGGATGTTCAATTCATCTACAGTATTTTCATTTTGACCATTTTTTTGTTTACTTTTATTTTGTCGAAATATAAAATTGATTAATGATAATGAAAGTTTTTTTTTAAAATTCTATAAATTGAAATGAAGTGGTGAACGTATGGGGAATTTTCAGTTTCTCAAAAGATTTTACATTAATTAAAGTGATTTTAAAAATTAAAATATGGAAACGTAGCTATTTAATATGACAATTATTGTTCAGCCTTTAGGTAGTATAACATATCAAAATTTTAATACTTACAAGAATGGGGCGGGGGATAAGATTAATAATAGTTTGAATAAAGAAAAGATAAAAAGGAAATGACCCCGGACCGTCTAATGGATATGAATTTGGAAAATGTTAAAAGGAAAGGAAACAAAAAAAATTGGAAAAAGAACATTTTAAGATGTGCTTGCTGGAATATACGATCTTGGAATGGAAGATAACAAGAAGTTCTGTTAGAAATGGAAAAGCACAATATAGATATATGTGCCCTGTCTGAAACAAAGCGGAAAAGTAAGGGCGATCTTACTTACCCTAAATATTGCCTAAAGTATAGCGGAAAAGAACATGCACAACGAGCTTCAGCAGGAGTAGGTATGCTAGTTAGCACAAAATACATACAAAATATTGAAGAAACGCATTACATAAACGAAAGGATTCTAAGAGTAGTAATAGATGGCGGGAAAGAAAAACTGCATTTTATTAGTGTGTACGCGCCAGATACTAACAAAAGCAACGAAGAGATTAAAAGTTTCTATGATGATTTACAAGCAGAAATAGAAAAAGTACCAAAAGAACACAAAATAGTAATTTTGGGAGACATGAACGCCCGAGTCGGAAATACAGAAATAAACGGAGTAAAGAACCGATTTAACGAATCACATATTAACGAAAACGGACAAAAATTAGTAAATTTTTGCGCACAAAACGAATTGAGAATCAACAACACCTATTTCGATCATAAAATACAACATAAAATAACCTGGTTAAACACAAGAGGAGCTACATCTATAATAGATTATATAATAACAAATAGAGCTGTTCACCCAACTCAAATACTAGACGTGCGTTCTTTATCCTCAGCAAACATAGGATCTGATCATCAGCTAGTCCTTGCAAAGATAAGACTTAACGTGCAATCAAAAAAAAGGCCCCCACCCGTGTACGTTGAAAAACTGAACATAGAGTCTTTGAAAACAGAATCTGTAAAAAACCTATACAAAAACAGATTAGCAGAAAAAATAAGATTAAATCAGATACAATTAGAAGAGAATGTTGAAACTGCTTGGAAAAAGGTTAAAGAAAACATAGAAAATGCAGCAAACGAAGCGTTGGGCAAAAGAAAGATAAATAAAAATGCAAACAAAACAAATACGCCATGGTTTACTGCAGAAGTAAAAGAGCTAGCAACAGAAAAACGCGAAAGTTACTTAAAATACCTAAGTAAGAGATCGCCCGAAGCATACAGAGAATACAAATCTGTGAGAAACCGCGTAAATTCCAACATACGCAGAATAAAAAAAGAACACTGGGAAGCGTTTACTGCAGACATGGAAAGAGATTTGTATGGTGCCCAAAAAAAAGTGTGGGGAATGCTTCGACGAAGGAAAAAGGAGGTAAATGAATATGTGCAAACAAATACTATATCTATTCAAGACTGGGAAAATCACTTTAGAAAGTTGTATGAAAATAGGGAAGACCGTGAAGCAGAAACACTTTTGCCAGAAGTAATAAGTACTTTTATTAGCATAGAACTTGTAGAGAACGCTGTAAAAAGTTTGAAAAATCGAAAGGCAGCCGGATATGATGAAATACCAAATGAGCTAATAAAATACGGGGGCAAAGGTCTCCATCATCAATTGGCATTATTGTTCCAAAAAACCATTACCAGCGGAACAATTCCAACTGACTGGAGGAAGAGCCTCACAATACCTATTTTCAAAAAGGGGGATAAAAGGATCCCGGAAAATTATAGAGGGATAACTCTTCTAAGTGCGGTAATGAAGCTCTTCACAAAAATTCTCCAGAATCTCCTATCAGAAAAAATTATTATGTGTGAAGAACAGCAAGGATTTCGAAAAAACAGATCTACGATAGACGCAATTTTTGTGGTGCGACAAGTAGTAGAAAAATCAATAGAATTCGAGAAACCGGCATTTATGTGCTTCGTGGATTTAACTAAAGCTTTCGACCGCGTCCAACTCAATGATATAATCGAGATATTGACAGCGAAAAACATCCCACCCGAAATAATTAAAATTATCTAAACCTTGAACAGAAACACCTCCACATTTATATTAACGAACAACATCAAATCAAACGAAATTCAAATATCATCAGGAATAAGGCAAGGCGATTCTTTGAGTCCATTTCTCTTCAACTTAATAATGGAAAAAATAATATCTGAAGTGAAAAACGCAGGACGTGGCTATAGAACTTCAAAAGGAGAAATAAAAATTATATGCTACGCAGATGATGCCGTGCTAATATCCGAAAATGAAGACGAGCTGCAAAAATTGCTACACCAGTTTTATATTACATCTTCAAAATTAAACATGGAAATTTCGGTAGCAAAAACAAAGTCTCTGGTAATTGCAAAAGAACCTTTAAGATGTAAATTGGCGGTTAACGACAAAATAATAGAGCAAGTAATGTCGTATAAGTATTTAGGGGTAGAGGTTTCTGCTTGCCAAAACCGAAAAAAAGAAAATATGCAACAAATAAACAAAGCAGCAAGAGTCAGTGGTTGTCTAAGCGACATTATATGGAAAAACAAGCACATGGGACAAGCAGCGAAGATTAAAATATATAAATCATGCGTACGCCCAATTATGACTTATGCAGCGGAAACTAAGGCGGAGACAAGCAAAACAAAAGCCAACTCCCGTGCAGCAGAAATGAAAACGCTTAGAAAAATAGCAGGACACACATTGCAAGATAGAGTTCCGAGCGCAGAAATAAGAAACATGTTAGATGTTCAAGATGTGGTAAGATGGGTAAGAGCTAGGAGGCGTGCCTGGAATGAACACGTCTCTAGAATGCAGAGTGACCGCATTGCAAAAATAGCAAGGGATGGCAAGCCAAGCAACACCAGGCCGCCAGGCAGACCACCTAAAAGATGGATCGAGTGCTGGACATCAACTTCTCAAGAGGCGAACTAATTGGAAAAGAACAGGCTGAGAGGCCTATAAAGAAGAGGAAGAATAGTTTGAAGTTATACAGTACAAATTCTTATGGACCATATGGAAATCCTCACACTTATCCAGGAATACAAAACTAAGAATATTCAACACAAGTGTGAAGTCGGTCCTGTTGTATGGTTCCGAAAAATGGCTATTGAAAAATGAATACACAAATAAAATGCAGGAATTCATAAATAGGAGCCTAAGGATCATCTGCCGCGTATTCTGGCCCAGACGAATCAGCAACACAGACCTCTGGGCCTTAACTCACCAAGAACCAATCACAAGGGTTATAAAGAAGAAAAAATGGAGATGAATAGGTCATACATTGCGACACCCGCCTGAAACCATCGCAAGACAGGTATTGGAGTGGAATCCGCAGGGTAGAAGAAGTATGGGACGGCCAAAGAATACGTGGCAAAGAACAATAAAGAAAGAAATCGCCACGGCTAACATGACATGGGCAGAAATAAAAAGAATGGCCCCTCACAGAGTTCGTTGGAGAGGCTTTGTGAAAGCCCTATGCTCCCAAGGGGAGTAAAGCAGGAAAAAAAAAAAACAGTACAAATTCAATTCAATTACTGTAAGTATATCGTAAAAACATAATATTTTACCGATTGATTATGGATAGCCTTGTGTTTGATGAGTTTAAGAATAAAGCTGACAACCTATATATTTAAGTAATATGTAATATATACGAACACGAGTATAATCGTCCCCGTACGCTACCCGTACGATTTTTTTTTGTTGATATGAATGATATGACTACCCGTATGATTTTTTTGATAATCAAAATATGATTAATTTGATCAAAGAATCCACCCTTAAATTATTTGCTGCCTTATGCGAAACATTCTGTACAATGTATATGATATATTATATAGAATATTACTTGCTGCTTCAGTATTGAATTTCAACTCAATCTAATTATATTCGTTTGCTATTGAAATCATATTTTGTTTATTAATGAGAATGGAAGAGCCGGACACCTAAAATTTGAATCAAATATTAATCTTATTTTACGCATAGATAATATTTTGAATTAATTAAATCTGGGCTAACTGAATTGGAGGTTTCTCATTTAAACTTGGCAATTCTTCTCCTCGGGATTTATGTAATTTTATACTCCAGAAATGGTTAATTTTCCTTAAATTAAATATATAAAAAAAATTTAAATTAATTTTAAAAATTGAAACATTTTGAATTTATAAATTATTTTTACAAAATAATTTCATATTTCACCAGCATTTTGACAAAATTTTTAGCACAATCACCAATTTTTCCAATTTTTAAATTATAATACAGTACAGCTATAGTGTAAGTTTCAATTTTAATGGCCCGATATTTTTCCAATATTAAAACGAAATTGAACATTATTTAATGGTGGACTCAAAATTTGTAAATCATTAATTTCCCTTCCCACTTCGACGCATACCGTTTTTATTATAGTGAATCAAAGTTTTTTATTTCTGAATTTGAAGGTAAATTTATATACCTGTAAAGAAAATCAATACCAAATCGGGAATGGGAAAAAAAAAATTTAAAATGAAACAAAGAAAACCATTTTGGAAATAAAGACAAAAACTGGAACGAGAACCCAAATCACCATGAAATGAAGAAAATTTTCTTTTATAATCTTTCCTTGTTTTTTTTTGTTCAAATTATTTTTTATGTACTTTACTCTCGCCTATACTATTTCTATAATAATACCAAATAAATTTTTACAACTTTTTAAAAATAAATTTTCCATTTTCTTTTTACATAAATTATATACCATTTTTGTATAGACGTATTCCATTTTGCTGGTATCCAATAGTCAGGTCTTTATTTATTGATTTAAACGTGACTAACATGAAAAGGCACGTGATCTTTTTTGATGTTCTTTCTTAAATGGTTTTTCTTGCCTCTGTTTTTCACAATTGTTTTTTTTTCTTTTCTTTTATTCGCTTTTCATCTTCCATATGACTCTATGACACAGCAATAATAAACACATCCGTGACAAAGCAGCAATAACATTAAATAAAAAAAAAAATGGTGGAATACTAAGGCAATTGAACCAGTTCTTCTTTGAACTTTATTCTGTTTCTATATCAATGTAGTACATCACAGACTTATAATTGGATTCTTATGTTTCTTGTACTTGTATAAAATATGATTACACATACATATACATATAGAAAACTTGAAAATATATCCTGGCATAAAATATAAAAATTTTGAACTTCACATCCTTATTTTAATCTTTAAACATTTAAGAAAGAATATACCATCATAAATTCAAAACAAGAAAATGTGTATATGCTTTAGTTCATCTTTTACAATGTTACGTTCTTGTCAACTACTCAAAATAACAGGTTAAGATTAAGAGTGAAAGTATAAAGTTATGTTTTGAAAAGAAAAGCTAAAATGATGCATGGGTACGATGGTACGTACATAATAATAATGAAAAGTTAAATTTCCACTTGTCGCCACCAGTTAAAAGGAAAAAAAAAATTCTCTTATGCTTTATTTTCTCTCCAGTGGTAATGTTACCACAATTTTCTTAATTTTTCCTAATTTTCCATTTTTGTTTTCCTTTCCCTTTAGTAAAATATTTCCTTTAAAACGAACGTGATATTCACGTAGAAAAACCGTTATACTAGTTCATATGGGTGTAATACACAGTGGGTCTAAATAAATTTTGGTCGAAAACTAGTATTTAAATTTGAGGAATACAATTATAAGACCCTACCTTTGTTGTAATAAAAACATTAGATTATTTACTGAAAGCAATATTTAAGAAATATTTTCGAAATTATTCTAAAATTTGCAAATATTCTCCCAAATATCTTAAATTTTTCAAAAATCAAAAGAAAAAATTTCTTCAACTACTTACTTACATTAACTACTCAAAAGTAATTCTGAAACGACTTCACTCCTCACACGTAATTTGTTACTTAAACCAAAAAATTTCAATATATAGCTCTTTAAGTAATAATTATTATGTGATCAAAATTTGAGAGTAAGCCTCCTGTAATAGTACAAACAAACAATGCAAAAATTTTGATTTTCTAGAAATCTTACGCGGTGCGACTAGATTTTCCTGTAACTACTGTATATCTATTACATTTTAATATGTAAATCAACTGATGTGTATAACACTTATACCCTTAAGTTGTTTCTTATGAATATCATACACAAGAAAATATAAGGAAAACATCAAAAAATACAAAAAAAATTAAAATAAGAACAGAATTAACAGAACCTATAACAGAATTTTATTTTAAGCACGTTTTTCACCATCAAAATGTGTACATATTCATTGCAGTACTAGCCATAAAGAATAAGAAAAAAGAAGGAGGAAAATATTGTTATCCTTAATGTGTTAAGGTGTCCTTTTCAACATTTTTGTCGTACAAGAAAATTATTTATATTCCTTATACAAATTTAAAATCTGTTCTAGAAATGAAAATGATTTAAAAGGATTAAAGTAAAAATTCTAGACTTATTTATTATCTTAGAACAAAAATATATCATAGAAGCGCAAAATGCAAGTGGATACATTAAATTTTATATAATATCAGTTGAGTGAAAAATTAGGATAGTTTCCATTATGGTCGATTTAAACAAAGTAATTTAAGGTAGTCAATTTTAAGAGAAAAACCTTGTACTAATTTTGAACAGCAATTAGATTTAAATTTACATGAGAAATGTACCAAAGATCAAATCTTTGGACAAGAAATGTGGACCATCGTTTTATCATTGTCCAATTGCCTATACTATAGACTTTACGATTCGATTCGTATGAAAATTCGAATTTGGAAATCAAATTTTTAAATTTGGAACTTAAATTTAATTATAACTTTTAACTAATTGGACTTCGTGTCTAGGATAGGATAGGTATATGAAGTCATATTATCGCGCTGTCCTCTCTTAATATAATCTTCATGATATACTAGAACGCCTTTCTCATAATTGATGGTTTTCACATAAGTTCGGCTTTCTTTAAATCTAATAAAATTTTTCCTCTGCACTATCATAGCCACACTTGTTATATTTGAAATCTACAAGAGGACGGTCAATATTATCATGTTTCTCATATTACA